AGAAAGGATGATTGTTTTGGGGGCTTGTGAGTGAAGTGGTCTGATCTTGTTTTTTATGCTAACCTCTCAGCTTGATCCTCTGATGCTCAGGAAAATATCTCAGAAATTAAAATTGTAGCATGCTGTCTCCTACCCTTGATGTTTTGCAAGTCTAGAAAATATTCTATAGTGTTGGAAGTGCAATAAATATAATAAAAAAGATGATTTCTAGGTGTTTTTGGTGTATATGGGGAGAGGTTGACGATGAAAGATTTTTTTAAAGGAAAAATGGAGGTCTAGTGGGTAAGAAAGGAAGTTAGAGTTATGAAAAATGTTCTGATCTACTGAAAAATAAAGGAAAAATAATATATATGTGCAGTGGTGTTTTTGTAATTTCTAGTTGATGGGTCAAAGGTGTACAATTGCATAATGGGTAGATTTGGGTGAGTTGTCGAGCTTTGAATGGCTTTGGGTACTGCTAACAACTTTTTGGAAATGATGTTATGAATTACACAATGGTTCTAGTAAAAGACTAAAAACTGCCCATTTCTAATGATTCTCTAGCCATACAAAATACCATTTTTGGGGGAGTATTTGAGTGTAGCCAACAAAATCAAATCTACCTAAGATTTTGGTAGATTTTCTAAGCAAAATGTAATTTTTTTCCAAAGTTTCCAAGACAATGAAACTTATGCAACCACCCTTTTCAATAGTTTCCAACATAGTGTAACTTGTGCAATTACCTTAGCATTAAATACAACTGCAACTTATTGATGGGGATTGAAATAGCATTTCTAGTTGGTTTTTAACAAGATTTCAATTTTTTAGTTAGCATCAAACGATAAAATTTTGGGATCAAGCTTAGCTTCCACGTTTTTGCCAGCCAACTCTTCCGAGTGAAGTCGAGCAACATCACCAACTCCAAGCTTGATTGGCGCAAATGCCTCATTTTGCCAAATGGGCAACATTCATTCATCTATACTTGCTAAATCACTACTTCCATAATTTATTTCGAATATTTCCCAGGAACTTGGATTCATGGGTTTATTGATGACCTACATATAGAAATAGAAATAGTAATCAATTGATGAAAAATGATGAAATTTAATAAATAAAAATATAATAAAGAAACGAGACTTCTTTATGTATGTCTAGTGATACAACCATGTATTGTAGAATCAGATACTGTTGGGGTTAGTCATATATTATAGCACTAAATATTGCTAAACCTTTTGGTAAATGTAAGTTAAAGACATTAATGGGCACTTAAATCAAAGCATATCTTAGTGACATGGAAACTATCCAAATTAAAGTTTGACTTTTTACAAAAACATCCATCAACAATAAAAAATTTAACACTATTAAATATATATTAATAAATAAAATTTTTAATTAAAAAATATAAATATTTACTTAATATAAAAATTGACATACATAATTTATATAAATAGAAATTTTAATTTAATCATTAATTTTTAAAAATATTATTTAAAATATGAATTTTTAGAGAAATCTTTTAATAAAACTTTAAGAGAACAATCTAACCTAGCTACACTATTCTCATTAATTTGTACTACAAATATAAATTCACGTTAATTATAAAAAGAAAAAAGAAAAAAGAAAAACTAACGTATAAATTGGGTAAGAGATCAGCGCACAATAAGAAATGTTCCAACAAACAAAATTAATGGAAATTTGGAATCGGTTTGATTACACCAACTCGGGGGTATTTATTTATTTATTTTATTATTATTATATTTTAGTTGTGTAATATGTGTTTTTAAAATACAGATTAAAAGTATATTAAATATATATTTTTATTATAAATTTATTTAAAAAAATAAAAATCAATTTTAATTTATCAATTATTTAATTAAATTTATTTAATATTAAAGTTAATATTAATTTTTATATTTTTTATATATATTTATTAAAAAATATATTTAATACACTATTAATTTATATTCTAAATATATAAATTATAAAAATCCTATTATATACAACGGAACTAGTTAAATTACCTATGTCTATCCATATTATTCCCAAATCGATCGTCAGCAGCTTCTTTATACGTGTAAAACTTTGGTGGAAATATAACAGATAATTAATTTCCCTTAAATCATAATTACCCAACTCGTACGGTACCGGTTCTCCATGACCACAAGTTCGTTAGATGAAAAGGACAACACATTGAGCTCCCCGTTGGCACTTCAGAAATTGAATACGTAACCGTGAAGAATTATGATGCCACCATAAATTTTTTTTTTATAAAAAATTTCTGGAAATATATATTTTTGGCTTTATTATCTTCACCAAACAGAGTTTATTGCCCCAATCTACTCACCTGTTTTCTTTCATTTT